CTAAACACCCCCTAATTCTTACAGTCATTCTGGCCTTAACCTTTAATCTAAACACCCCCTAATTCTTACAGTCATTTCCTATCGGACATGGATTCCATTCCACTCACAAACCTGATCACTCTCTTCCAAGCCTACTTTAGCTTGCCAAGGTGCTCTTGGCACACTTTTCCTGCTGCACTCAGCCCTAAGACTGGGAGGTTATTACTTCTCATGGTTAAACATAGCTTTTCTTGAGAGAGTGTAGAGTATAATTATCAACACTGTGCCTATGAATGGCTGCTGAGCCAATAGGTGTCTGTCATAGTGCTTTAGTAGGAGTGATTTGAGGGTAGAGCGTGTTCTATTTACTGCTTACGAAAGATAGGCATCTGATAAATGTTTTTTGAAGAAAAGCTTAAGCTAAGTTTTCTCTTATAGTACTTAAGGTGTAATTTTGGACCAACTTTATATTTATCATGATTAAATTCATCTTTTTCTTTGTAACCTTTTGATGCTCTCTGTTTTTTATTCTGTCATCTGTTTTATGTGCAATTACTTCCAGCTTTTGTGCTGAATACAGATTGGGAAAGCATGCCTTTTGTGTCAATATTGTTGAATTAAAAAATACTAAGCTTTCTTATTTTTTTTTCAGCCTGACATGGTGGATTGGTAGAAAACATACTAGCATCTGCAGGCCTTAATTATATTGTTATTAGCACTGCTGATTTACATTGTTTCAAAATAAGTTGTTTTAAACTTTGAGAACCTAAATCACTTCACCTGTAAAATACTTCCTTTGCCTGCCACAAAGAGTTGATAGGATGATCAAATATGATAAGATATAAAAGCAGTTTTTTTAATTGTATAAATCCAAGATTGTGAAGTTGCTGTTGTTACTGATGATATCTTGAAAATCTCGATATATATCGAGTGGGATAGTTCTTATTCTGATCTGCAGTTTTGTGATTTGTTTTATTACTACTGATCATCTAAAGTTTGAGTGTTTTAGTTAATAAATGTATTTATACATTTCGTTTCCCTAAAGTTTAGTGATTTGGTTTGTCAGGGAACAAGGGTGGGGAGGAATACTTTCTGGGTTATAATTCAATTCATGTACTTGAAATACATACATTTTGTGCTACACAGGGCTTTGTTTTTTGCAATTTAAATTGTAGGCCTATGAAATTATATTAGCGTCTTTGAAAAAATCTGCATCAGCACTTCAGTTGTGTGTATTCTGCTCAATTACCTTGACTTTTTAATTGAAAGGTGGTTGATTATAATTTTAGTGTCAGTATTATAGAAAGTCATGGAAATATTTAATGATCATGTAGTTTGAACCCTCTCTGACAAGCAGGAAATTATCTTGTCTGCCTGACTTTTAATAGATGACATTCACCCACTGGATGTATCCGACTCTAAGCTGAAAACTCAAATGGAAGTCAAATTCAGGCTCGTAATAATCAGCCTCTTCTTTATGCATGTCCCAGAATGCTGTGGAATATATTGAATCAGTCCTGACACAGCTACCTTTTCCCCATTCTGATTATGAAGTTCTTAATTTAACCCCTTCCTGTGTAAATTATTTTGATGTTTTAGTTTCTGCAATAAAAAGTGATTTAAACATATCCATCCAGTGGGGGTGGGGGGGAAACCCTTTTGGTTATCACTTCTATAGTGCTTATAGTAATACTAGAAGCAAACACTGAGATTGAGGCAACTGAATGAAAATACTTAATCTTTCATTACTACATATAGTTGCCTATTTATCGTGCATATAGCAGGGATTCTAATAAATGAGTTGGGAGTATTTATGTCAAAGTCTTGTACCAAGGCTGAGATTATAATAGGTTCTGGATGTAGATAGCAACTCCTTGGATCAGCTCGCTAAATCACTAAGCTGCCAAATTCGTGGAGTGGTATCAGCTATCAGTTCATCAGTTTGCAGTGAAATTTGTCTATTCATTCTGTTAAATAGGTAAGATATACACGTAGTAAAAAATCCAAATTCAAATGATAGAAAAAGAGTATGTGCCTCGGCGCCTGTGGCTCAAGCGGCTAAGGCGCCAGCCACATACACATAAGGTGGCAAGTTCAAATCCAGCCTGAGCCGCCAAACAACAATGACGGCTGCAACCAAAAAATAGCCGGGCATTGTGGCAGACACCTGTGGTCCCAGCTACCTGGGGGGCTGAGGCAAGAGATTCGCTTGAGCCCAGGAGTTGGAGGTTGCTGTGAGCTGTGATGCCAGAGCACTCTACCCAGGGTGACAGCTTGAGGCTCTGTCTCAAAAAAAAAAAAAAGAGTATGCAGTGAAAAGTTTCTAATCTCCCGTGGTCCCCAATTTCCCTCTCTACAAGCAAGCCAGATTGCCAGTCTCTTCTATATTTTCCCAGAGAATTATGTACCCTTAAAAACAGATAATGTATATCTTTTTTTTTACTATAATACATTTTTCAGGACTGTTCTTTTTCATTTATGTATCTCAGATGTCATTAATACTAGTACATAGTCACCTTATTTTTAATGGTTGTATACCATGCCTTTGTTTGGATGTTTTATAAATTTTCACCCAATCCCTATAGGTGGACATTTAGCTTGTTTTTAATCTTTTCATACTATAGTTTTTCAGTGAATGTTCCCTATATACCCACAGAACTATGGTATAAATTCCTAGAAGTGGAATTGCCAGGTCAAAGAAGAATTACCTTATTTTGATAGACACTTCCACATTACTCAACAGAAGATGAACTATTTATAGTTCCATCAACAATATTTAACCACAGCAGAAATTTTATCCTTCCAGTGACAGTTACACCTGTTCTTCCAAGTTTCTCCCAGAATTTAGATACCTAGGAAACCAAAATCTAGAGATTCTTTAAGTGTATGAAATGATGACTGAGGGAATTTCATGGTCTTGAGCAGTTTTCAGATAGGCTCCCCCTGCTTTATTAGACTGGACTTCTCTGACACATCCCACATGTCTCTACCATGTGTAATAAAAATTAGTCAAATCACATCTCTCTTTTCAAGACTTCATACTGAGAGTTCCTGTTCAGTATGTCCTAATCATTATATTTCTTTTTCTGCATACAGTTATTCCATTATGTACAGGTTATGGTTATTTTTTAATTATTATGTTTTAATTTGCTGATTACAAATTACATGTAGGATTGTATTTCCTTCAGAAATAAAAATATAGTGAGGATTATTTCTAGACAGATTTCCTAAAGACAGCTAATTCCATCAATAGCTTGTGAGTCTTTATTCATAAAAAACACTTGCTGGTCCTTAAGAGCTTGATCTTTCCTGTCATTTATGTTAGTATTTTCTCGTTTTAAACTTCCAGGCTCATCTGTGTTTGGGTCAATATTAATACTCTCTATTTTGATTACCACTGACTGATGAGTAAATTATTATAAAGTGTTTTGGAAATACAGTCTCTATATAAGCTACCAGTGTGCTCCATCTCTAAACTTCCTAATGTACCACTAATGAGTTGTGTGTAAGTAGAGAATGTTGATTGGTTTATGTGATCTGTATCTAGCAAGTATATCATGAGCATGAGATGTTAGGTTGTGTTTTGTTTAAGAATCTCTTGAAAATTATGTCATGTTTTAAGTGGTATTTATTGTACCAGATGTTTCCCATGTAATTGTGTGAATAATTTGGTTCGTGCCTTAGCCAGCAGTGTGTTCTTTATTCACTAAGTAATTCTTTTTGCTCTTTATTTTCATTATCTATCTTCTATTCAAAGAAAAGTCAAAGTAATTACCAGCTGTTGCATTATTAGAATATAATAAATATTTTATCATCCCAAAAGGCTAGAATAATTGGAAGGAGAAGCAGGAGAAGAGGTTAATTAGAGAAATCTTATTAGGAATCAGTGGATACTATTATTGTTTTACCCCTTCACCAATGTCACAGACTGTTAATCATGCAGTCGGTTATGGTAAATTCAGGTAATTTGATATGTTTTATGAATGCATGAATAATACGTAATAGATTTGGAATAACTCTTAACATTCCACAGTTCTTATGCAGAAATTTTCTTAAATGTTTTGTTTGAAAATACTTGTAACCTTAAACTTAGAATAAATTTTACTCATTATCAGTGGATATACTTCTTAGGTTGTAAGGACTTGTTTTAGGTTTCTAAATAAGATATTTTTTCCTCATTGCTTCTGTTTTCATTCTCAAAATTATTGAAGGTTTTTAGGCAGACAGTAGCCACAATGATAAAATTATTTGGAGAGGGATTTATTTCCTTAAACATTCTTATAAGATTAACATCTTTATTCAGCGGATTTTGGTACAGAATAGTGTTAATAGGCCTTTTATAGGCTAGTCTGGGATCATAACCACTATTTTATGCATTTCTGGGTGAAATTTTTTGTGTTCAAAAAAATGTTACTTCTTTCTTAAACAAAAAACACTATTGACACAAAACTTATAACTCATTCCAAAATTGAGGACTTATTTTATTGTTAAGTATTTCTCCAGGAATTACATACTGAATAATGTTCATTTTGTGCTTGAAAGCAATTATTAATCAATCTCTTTAAAGATGTAATTTTTAGTAACATTTAATGTTTAATTTATTTTTAGGTTTTAATTCTCTTTAAAATTATAGAATACGTTAGATTTCAAATTAAGTTACTATGTTGCACTTATCTTTCTATTTGCCAGGAGCGTGACCAAATAGGGGAAGAGTCTTTTTAATGATGTTATAGTGATAAATTGTTTTTGTCCTTTGGAATAATCCATCAGAAAGGAAAATTGAGTAAACTAGTAATCATCCAGCAAAAAAAAAAAAAACAAAAAACTTTTTCTATGTACTCCAGAAAACCTGGGCAAAGAGCTGACAGATATGCATCGCTTTGTCAAACTTTTATCAACTACTGTTGAAACTCGAGATGAAATTCCAGAGTCAATACTTACAAAAGAGAACACCCAGGAAATCTATCTGGTATGACTCCATGCTGCTTCAGTGAAACTAAATGTTTATGTTTTTATTTTAGTGACATTGTATGCCTCCTGCATTCTCCTGGGAGTGTTCTTAAATAGCAGCATACCTATATTTTTTGAGCTTTTTGTGGAAACTGTCTACCCTGTTCCAGAAGGAATTACTTGTGGAGTTGTCACTTTTTTAAGTAATATATTCATGGGAGTACTTTTATTTTTTCTCACGTTTTATCATACAGGTAAGAAATTTGTTTATTCGTTTTATTTACTATCTAAATGTGTTATAAGTTTGTGGCACTGATGTATAGGAAATTTATATGGAGAATTCATACTAAGGTATGTATGTTACTTTATGCGTGCTTTCACTGCCAATAAAGGAAGATATCCTCAACTGTTTTTCTTGAAATGCATTGTAGCCCTAGTGTACCCTTACCCCAGACCCTAAAATTTCTGAATTAACTAACCTAGGCTGCAGCCCAGCTCATACAGTGATTATAATATGTAGATTCTCACTGGTCTACTGCTTTTTAAAAACTACTTAGTATCTACTATCTTAATACAGAGTGTGAGTTAAGGTCAGGTTAAATATGGAGTTTAAAGCCTGAGTGATGAATAAGAGGAAGTCACTCAGTGTAAGAAATACTTTAAAATGTGGCCCTCCAAGAAGCCAAATTGTTAATAAGAATCTTTCTGACAGGCTTGTAATTGAAA